TGATGAGACAAATATAAAGATAAGCTGTCATAGTGAAAAACAGAGTACAAAGATATCTAATCCCAATAAAGGGGGGAGGGAGTTAGGAGGAAGGTCTACAGTAGTCATAGTATCTACTGATGGCAGCTGGGGGTGGGGGAACTGGGAACAAAGCTAAAGGGAACAGAAGTTGCATCCTGCAGTTCCCAAAAGCTAGCTTTCAGCATTGCTCCTGACACAGGTGTGCATTTTGAACAGTTTATTAAACAAATACTTACTGAAAACAAATTACCAGCTTAGGCAGAGCTTAGAGGTGCAGAATAGAGTAAGATAAAACCTAATGCATGAGCTGGTAAGTGATTAAAAGTGGAAGTCTTGCAAAACTACCCAGTGACTTTACTTTTTATATAAAAGAATTTGACATCATTATTTTAGGCCAGTAGCTTTTTTCTTCTTCTTTATAATCTTTGTATCAGGAATTTAACTCAGCATTCAACATATCACTCATTTCGATTGATCCTAAAGATAACAATGGCTTAACCTATCAAGTAAGTTTCAGGGAATAAACTGCAAACAGAATTATTTTTGCAACTACTGCTTGCATTTTTAATTTGCTTTATTACAGTTTTACTTTGAAGATTGTACCCACATTCACTATACACAAAGGACATTTTCAGATACCAGAAATAAAGCATTAAAACATTCAAATAGTTGAGTATGTAAGCTGTATTAATGTGACATTTTTACATTGTTTTAAAATGTAGCTTCATAATTACCTACAATTAGTGGCTTATTGCTCATTATTTCTAAGGTTGGCTGGGAAAGCCACACATTTAAAGGGATGACAGTACTGCTCAAGAAATAAAAATGCCACTGAGTGAAAATTATTGCCTAATCCTGTATGAATTAACAGGTATTTTAAAGTTCATCAGATACATTGTGGTAAATGAAAATGGGAAACCAACTCAAAATTTAAATATTTGTTAGGATTCTTCTAATTTTCTATGATACTTGTGACCCATAAATTTAAAATCCTCTGAAGAATTATTTGTCGCCTCCATAGACTTATATTTATGTCTAGTATGAAAGATACAATGGTGTAAAAATATGTTTTATTATATTTCATAGGAACTCCTATGGTATTGTTTTAAGTTTGCACTAAGGTTACTAATTTTACCCACCTAATTTCTTTCTCAGACAAGTTAAATATCCACTTTGGGAATTATCTGAATAGTGTAGGATAAGTGTCCATGAAATTGGCACTAGTTCACTAAAGTAAAAAATTCCTAAATTGTTATGTATGGTGACAAATATTAACTGGACTATTGTAGTGATCATTTCGCAATGTATACAATCATTACATTGTACACTTGAAACTAATGTGATATTTTACATCAACTATACCTCAAAATGTTTTCTTTAAATTACTAAATTGAAGTTATTTGATTTCTAGCAAATTAATTATCATGTTACTTCCCATTAAAAATAATTATATGAATCTTGTTTACCTGTGAAAAAGAACTTCACAGGACAAGCCTCCAGGGCAGTGATTCTGTTTCACATGCTAATTACATCTCTAGGTTACTGCCACACACAGAAAGGAAATACATAAGTAGTATCTGATTACAGCAATATCATTTTTTACTTTTTGAAATTTATTTTTATCAAAATTTGTTTAAAATAATTAATGTTTATTAAAAAAAATCTAAATTATAGCAATATATGAAGTGAAGCTGCCCAGGTTCTGCATTTAGCTCACAGGTAGGTACTGTTAACTATCATACATATTTCTCCAAAAATAATTTTAATGTATGTACATATATGTGTGTGCGTGTGTATGAATGTGTACACACACACACACCCTTTAAAAAAAATGAGATCACTTACACATAGTATTTTGCAACTTGTCTCATTAACTTAAAAATGTACCTTGGGCATTTTTCAATGTCATTTAGATAAATGGCTTATATAATAGTTCCTTGTTTAGATATAACACAATTTATTTGACCAGTTCCATACTGATGGATATTAGAATTTTTTTCTTCCAAATGTTTCACTATTATAAACAGTACTCAATGAAATCCTTCTTTACTTTAATAATTGCCGTAGGCTTGCCTCATTGCAGGAAACTCTTTGGGTCAAACAATACAAGTATTCAAAATTTAGACACATGTTGCTAACCTGCCCATCATAGTTGTATAACACTACTACCACCAGCAGATAAGAACATCTATTTCCTCCTTCACACTCTCCAACTAAAAATGTCTTTTTTATTCTTTGTTTATTAAATATTATTTAATTTAAACTTCATTGAGTATATTTTAGATTAAATCTGCCATAATCACTGAAAGCACTTCTGCCTTTAAAGCTAGATATTCTAATTCAGCAGTTCTCAACCTGTGGGTCGCGACCCCTTTGGCAGTCGAACGACCCTTTCACAGGGGTTGCCTAAGACCATCCTGCATGTCAGATATTTACATTACGATTCATAACAGTAGCAACATTACAGTTATGAATTAGCAAAGAAAATAATTTTATGGTTGGGTCACAACATGAGGAACTGTATTTAAAGGGCCAGAAGGTTGAGAACCACTGTTCTAATTAATTCTCACCTGGTTTTAGATTACATACATACTAGACCAAAAAATATTTGATGAAAGATGTCTCCAAAGACACATATTTTATTATTAAATAATCACTGTAAAAATTCTGAAAACATAGCCAATATAAAGAATAAAATATAACTATGCATACCATCATTCAAGAGATAATTGTTAAAAATCACCTTTTATTTATGTATACATTTAATGTACATATATTGTTTTTCTCAAATGTAATCATGCTATATGCTATTTTACATCCTGCTTTATTAAAGACATTAGAAATAACTCCCCACATAATCTTAAATATTCTTTTGAAAAATGATTTTTAAAGTCCACATAATATCTCTTCATTTGATTACTATGACTGGACATTTACTTCTGGTTTTCTGTTATTAGAAATTAGGAAAAAAAGCATCTTTGACTGTCCCTCTGAGAATTTAGTTAAGTTGGAGAAAGTCCTGAGAGTGGTTAGAACATGTTCTTTATTTTATAACTAGAGGCCTGATGCATGAAGATTCATGCAAGAATGGGCCTTCCTTTCCCTGGCTGCCGGCACCGCCTTCACTCTGGCCTGGAGCCACCTTTCTGTCTTCCCATGCTGCCCAGAGGCCTGGAGCAGCTGGGGTGGTGCGGAATGCCTGCATCATCATCAAGGTTACATGCAAGCATCCCGCCTTGCCCCTGGCCGCTCAGTGCCTGTATATGCAAATTAACCCACCAGCTTTGTTGGGTTAATTTGCATACTCACTCCTGATTGGCTGGTGGGCGGCACAAAGGTATGGTCAATTTGCATCTTTCTCTTTTATTAGTGTAGACTAGAGGCCCGGTGCATGAATTCATGCAAGGTTGGGGTTCTTCGGGGTGGCCTGCAGGGATCCGGCCGAAACCGGCAGTCCCATGCTGCCTCCTGCTCCTGCCAGCCGCTCCCACTCATTCTGGCCCCCACTCATTCTGGCCCCACTGCGCCTGCCATGGGCTCCCACCCAGTCAGTCCTGATAGAGAGAGCCGTGAGCCCTGTGTCTGGCGCCCATCCTGAGAGGGGTGGGGGAGGATCTGGGATGTACTGAGCATCTGCACCCTGGTGGTCAGTGCATTATAGCAACCGGTCGACTGGTCATTCGGTCATTCAGTCGTCTGGTTGCTTAGGCTTTTATATATGTACTAGAGGCCCAGCCCACGAAATTGCACGAGACCACCCCCCCCGCACCACGGGATCCCGGACTCCCTCCCTCCGCTGCCATGGGACCCTGGACTCCCTCCTGCTACCACCGCGGGACCCAGTACTCCCTCCTGCCGCTGCCACAGGGCCCTGGAGTCCCTCCCACCACCACTGCAGGACCCCAGAGTCCCGCCCACCAGTGCCGTGGGACCCAGAAGTCCCGCCTACCACAGCCACCGTGGGACCCATCAATGCACCTCCTGGTGAGTCCAGTCGTTGGTCGTTATGGCGTTATGGCCACAGGCCTTTTATAATATAGATAGATAATAAATGAGATCTTTGCAATATGAAGTCCTTAGGTATCTATCATCTGTTAAACACAGCCCCATCTAGGTAGGCGACTTTTCACTTCTTTAAGATTTGACAGGCACCATGGTTGCACTGAACTTTATATTTACAAAACTAAAAAAGTGTCCTTTCTTATTTTTTGCAAAACTGTTCCTGACCTTGAATACCAGCATATTTGATTAACAAAGCAGTAATCATGAAGAGACTTTTACCATACTTTTTCCAGCAGAAATCATCAAACCGAAGACAGAAAACTAGGGATGAGAGTATCATAATACAAATTCAACAAGGGTTAGCCTTTAATATACGCACAAAAAATGATCTTGAATTGGATCACAAGGAGCATTCAAAAACATTCCCCAAACAGGAATATAAAGGGCAAATAATCTGACAAATTTGCATAACCAAAAGAATTTTACACATGCAGAACTTTTAAAACAAATTTCCAAAAACCTAATTAGGATTAAAAACAAACAAACCACAAATCAAAATGGAAATCCCCAACTGTTTGAAAATGAATCATAAGAACTCTGGGCTGCTGAAAAAGTGGCACTTAGGAAAATGTATACAGTCTTAGATGCCAGTGTAGAAAATATGAGCAATAAAAAATGAGTGGCTTAAATTTTAAATTCAAGCAGAGAGAGAAAGAGAAACAATAAACATATACAAAAGAGCAGTTACTAAAGATATAAGAAGAGATAGATGAATGAGAAATCAAGTATTCTCTTGATTTGGTAATTTTCAAGGACCAATAAAATATAAATACTTGGTAAAATAAATTTGGAAAAGGAAAGAACAGAACTATTATTTTTTTTAAATTCAGATCATATAAAATCAATATATATAATATGTATTATATAATATATGATCAATATGAATAAATTAGAAAATATAAACAAAATAGCTAATTTCCCAGGAAGTTTTAAGAGAAAATTCTATAAAGACAATTACTATGTTAACAGATTAAAAGAGAAAAATCATATGATTGTGTTAATTATTACATAGAAAATAATTAATAAAATAAAAAACACATTAACGGTAAGACTCTTAATAAACTAGAAGTAGAAATCTTCCTTAACCTGAAAATGGGAATCTATGAGAAATTTTCCTTAACCTAAAAATGGGAATCTATTTTATGTAATGATGAAATCCTAGAAGCATCTCATTGTATGCTTGTATACCAGTCAAAGTGGTATTTCAAGAAAAAAGATATACATTATTTGTAAAAAAGAAAAAAAATTGTCATTATTTGCAGATTTTTTAAACTGTCAAGCTAAAACAGCTAACTAGCAAACTGTTAGATCTATCAGAATGTCAGCAAGGTCAAATAAAAAGATGAAAAATAGAAATTATTGGCTTTTATATACATTTGTAACGATTAATTAGAGAAACTTAGAAATAAATCCCATTCAAAATAACAATTTGAAAATTCCTGACATGCAAGACTGTTATGAAAAAACACATAAAACTTTACTGAAAGACATAAAGAAGAGCTATATCTTATCACTGGATGAGAGGACTTAATATTATAAAGATTTCATTTTTCTCCAAATTAATTTATAAATTTGATGTAACCCCTAACAAATACCAAATGGAATCTGCAAGGAATTGGACATGCTGGTACAAAAAATTAAAGCAAATGCATAAACACAGAAGATAGTTGAGGCAATCTTAAAAAGAAAGAACAAAGGTCTTGCCCTACCAGATATCAATAAAAAAACATTGTGAAGATACACTAATTAAAGCAAGATGATACTGGTGCAGAAATAGATAATCATATTCATAGAACAGAACACAGACTCCAGAGATAGTCCAATGAATAAAACAGAATTCAAAATATAATAAAAGTGGCATATTTCATTAACTACTCAACAAATGGTATTGAAATAATTGGCTGTCCATTGGAATAAAGCATAAAATAAAATAAAAAATCTCTTCTTCACAGTTGCTCACACACAGAAAAAGTCCAGAGTAATTAAAGAACTAAACCTAAAATAACATAAAAGCAGGACTGACTACATAATTTGTGGGGCCCAGTGCAAAATGAAAATGTAAGACTTTTAAAATGGCAATAGTAGAGAATTAAAGTGAGCAGGGAGAGGGAGGGGCTTCTGAGCACAAAAATAAAGATCAATTTGACGATACCTAAATTTAAAACTTCTGCCTGACAAAAGACACCATAAACAGTTTTAAGACAAGCCACAGAAGAAGAAACGATTTACAACACATATGAGACAGACCATTAATACCTAAAATACATAAAAAATGTCTACCAATCAATAAGAAAAAGATAATGTATCCAATATTTAAATATTAGATAAAGGCTTCACAAGAATAATTTGCATAAGAGGATGTTAAAGAGCCATTAAACATGAAAATCTGTTCAACCTCATGAATAGTCATGAAAATGCAAATTGAAACAAGAAGATATTTTTTTAACCACAAATAAAGTTTGATGATGTCAAGTGTTGGCAAGTAAACTGCTGGTGGGAGGGTACACGGGCACCTTTGAGGGGAAAACTTGGCAGTATTGAAATGGAAAATCGGCATACCTTCCACCTGGCAATTCTTTCTCCTGTTTACTCCCCTACAGAAGGGCTTCCCACGTGCATGTTCATAGAAAGTCATATGCTGGCATTTTACTGCTAAATTGCAATAAAATTCATAATAGCAAAAATTAGGAAAAAACTTAAATGATCATCAAGGGAATGGTTAAATAAATTATAATATCTATATGTTTTTTGTTGTACATGAATATAACAAAGGCTGTAAAACCCTATGCCTACAGACATAAAAAGCTCTCCAAGACATGTTTTTAAAAGGAATAAATTGCTACTATTATGTTGTTGGATTTTTTTAAAGAAACCATACATCCTTACTATATATTTCTATAGGAACATATATGTACATATGAAACACAGAGAAAAAGACCTTGAAACCCAAGAACAAGATCTACCAAATCAACAACAGTAGTTTCCTGTGGAGAGAAATGAGATTGATAGGGTGGGAGTCAGAGGCAATTTTAGCTGAATCTGTGATGTGTGAATATTTTCTAAAAATATTTTTTAAATATTCACAAATTATTTAATAATTAAAAGTAAGATGTTTCAGGATAAACACTGCCAACTTTGAAGATGGGTGTTACCCTAACACAGTCCTCCTGGACAACACTAAACAATTTCAAATCCCCTATGCCAAGAATATTTCTTCCACCTCAAAGAGGAAGAAAGACCAAATATTTTCTTGAGCACTCTTGCAGCATACTGATTTCTCATTTCCCCTTCAAACACCAAAGTTAATTAGTAAAATGACTTAACTTCCCAAATCCACGTAACAATTGCATTGCCTGAACTGCCTTCCTTTTATAGTTTATGGCAAACTACCATATTACAAGTGGCCTGGAGAAACTGCATAGCAAGGTCACCTCTAAAACCAAGAGCAAAAATATTTTAAGTACCTTCATGAAACAAAGCAGAGTATTTCAAATAGTCATTCAAACTTTAAAAATAATTTTCAGTACATGCAAACTCTGAGATCTGCTCCCCAGAATATTTTCAAATTCATGAAATCGGAAATTTGTTCTTTATTCATTCTCACCTGAACAGAGTTTCAAGGAGATGTTGGGAATCTTCCTCAGTGGATAGTAAACTCATTTACTCACCATGCATTATATTTATCTATCTAACTATACATGCTATGCAAATTAAAGCAAGAAGATTTTTTTTAGTGAAGATATAATTCACATACCTTACAATTCATCTATGTAAAGTTGACAATTCACTACTTTTAGGATAATCACAGTGTTGGGCAACCATCACCATAATTGATTTTAGAACATTTTCACCACCCTATAGAGAAAAATCTTGCACCCATTAGCAATCAATCCCCCTGCCCTCCAAAACCCCGCCTCAAACCTAGGCAATCACAAATCTACTGTTACCACAAATTTGCCCGTCTTGACATTTCATATAAGTGGACACATAAATATGTGGCCTTTTGGGACTGGTTTCTTTCACTTAGCATATAATGCTTTCAAAGTTGTTCCATGTTGTAGCATGTATCAGTACTTTCTCTTTACTGCCAATCACTATTACATGGTATGGATGTACCACATCTTATTTACCCATTCATCAGTTAATGCATATTTGGATGTTTACAATTTCGGGGTATTATGAATGATGGTGATATGAACATTAGTATATAAGTCAAAATGCTTTTTTTAAAAAAGCTGAACAGTTCTACATAAATGTGTGCTGGATGACTTAGAAAGTAAGACAATTAAAATGCATGCATTTATTTATTTATTCATCCTAACAAGTAATCATTAATAATCAAATGAGCCATTTTATAAAAATAATGAATAGGAAACAATTATTGATATCATAATAACCATAATTAACTACTAAATTAACCTTCTCTTAGATGCCAAATTTTAAGAAATTAGTTTTTTGTCATTGGAGAAATACCCTTGACCAGCAATTAATTTATTGATTAGAACTTTCTTAAGAGAAAGAAATGAAAGGGCTTTCTGGAATGTGTGTGTGTGTGTGTGTGTGTGGCGGGGGGGAACGGCGCAGAGTTTTTCCATCTTGCAAGTCACTGGAGTAACTGAAACATTTTGACGGCAAAAATCCTTTGCACTCTGACTTGGAATTAATTTTTATAATTATTTGGAATAATTTAAAAAACTGGAGATAAAACCATTGAAAAGCAGAGAATACCTTGTTTTTAAAAATACTTCTTCCCCATGGATGTAATGAATTGCCCTTCGAAGGTCAAAGGTACCAGACCGGTAACATGTAGCCATCTGAAAGCTTTGCAGGCGGCCGTTGCTTTCTGGCTGTCTCGGTATAAACTGTTATTGCTCAGCACCATTTACGGAGTGGGGTTCTAGGGATAAAGGCACCAATCCTTCTCCTATGGAACTCACATCTCAAGTGGTCAAAATATCACAAAAGTGAGAGTGTAAGAAAATATTTATTTACTGCTCTTTTAACAATTTTGTTTAAGCTCCTATACAAAATAATGATGATCCATAAGGATAAATATTTAATCTTATATTCACTTACTCCTCTAATATGGGAAAATGAATATAAAAAAACCTCTACTTCACTATTATGTGATTTAAAGGCAGAGAATAAAGAACTAATAATCATTTTTAAATATTATTATATAGTTAGTTAAAATAAAATTATTGATGACAGGACTTCCAACTTCTTTTTAACTTTTTGATCTATGCTAACTATAGAATTAAAAAGAAAAGCCACAATGGATTCCACTTATGGACTTCAGTGATGGCGAACCTATGACATGCGTGTCAGAGGTGACACGCGAACTCATTTTTTTGGTTGATTTTTCTTTGTTAAATGGCATTTAAATATATAAAATAAATATCAAAAATATAAGTCTTTGTTTTACTATGGTTGCAAATACCAAAAAATTTCTATATGTGACACACCACCAGAGTTAAGTTAGGGTTTTTCAAAATGCTGACATGCCCAGCTCAAAAGGTTCACCATCACTGGACTAGACAAACAAATTGTGAAACCAAGACTAAAAACCAAAAATAAAATTTAAATCAGTAATAAGAAATCAGTCCACCACTAAGTTGTATTCCCAAAGTTTCTATGTAAATCAGTTGTCTGCAACTCCCAATTCATTCTCCCACATACCTACCTAAATGTAAACAGTGCTTAGCTCTCAGACCAACCCAGAGGCGCCTAGTTAATCCATAATGCAGCTGAAGTAATGTACACAGGAACATTTTAAAAATGGGGAAATTACTGTTGAAATGCTAGTACTTAAACCAAACAGAAAAGAATTTAAATTCCATAAAAATAATTTTATAAACTTTTATTTTGATCCTCCCACACAATCTAGTACATGAAGAAAAGCAGTGTAACCTGAAGGGGAATGGAGCAGAGACATCCTCTTCTGCTGAAATTCTGATGGGCCCTCTAGGCCCACGGAGGAGCTGGGAAAGCTGGGGAACAAGACGTGGGCTCTCTGCCTCCTTTTGCTTTTCATTTCCTGCTACTTCAACCACCTTTCCCCTCCTCTTCTGTCCCAATCCTGCCAACTTTCAATCTTTAATTCAAATCTTTCTATTTCCACTAAGATAATCTGAGTCTGAAATATCTGGACCTAGACAAGAAGCTTGCTGCTCCTATAAATATACACTGTTCCTCTGGCAACTAACATTTATGGACTGGCGCAGCTCTTGCTTTTGTTACTCAGTGAGAGTTATCTGATGGCTAACAAAGGGATCCAATGTGAGGATGTAAGAAAGAAAAGAAATGAAACTCTTTTGAGACACCTACGGAAGAGCTCTGAGAGACAGAGAAAGGAGGGAAAGGTGGAGCAGAGGAAGGGAAGTCATGGGTAAATAGTAATGGATAGAAAGGATCATTCATAAAGTGGGACCACGAGCTCAAGGTCTGTAAGTTTGCTTTGTACAGGAAGAGAAAGGGGAACAGGATGACTATATAAGCACTCCTCATGTTGGTATCTACACATATCCATTAACTGTTTATTGAGCACCTAGTATACAGGGAATACTACTGGATACACTAATCCTGGGTGGTTAACTCCAATATCTGAATTTTGGGGAGACACAATTCATCCCATAACAAGTGTCAAGAATGACTCAGGTTTTGGGCCTGATCCAGTGGAAAGATAGCCATCTGAGCTCACCACTGAATAATGGGCAGGCTTCTGATACATGGAGAAAGGCATTAGAAGTAGAGATCATTATAGTAAAAAGGCCATTTAACATGTATTGAGTGCTTATTACATGTAAGGCACCAGGCTGAGCACTTACATGCATTACTTCATTTAATCCTTACAACACTAGAATGTCAGGATCATCATCTCCATTTACAAATTAGGAAGCAGAAACTTAAGAAGGTTAACAACATGCCCAAAGTTACATAGGTAGCTATTAAATGGAATAAAGGAATTTAGATCCAAGCGCTGATTATAGCAGTCATGCCCTTAACCACTGCCTATAAGTCCTCTGCCACAGAAAGCCATGAGTTGAAGGCATAAAACCATAAAGATAAAAAAAATGAATCTTAAGTATGATACTCAAGAGATCATCCAGTTCAACAATCCTTTTACAGTAGCCATGAATTCAAAAGGTGATTAACTTATTTGTCTAATACAAGCTATCTAGAGCAGACCTTAATTAAAATGTTCTTTATTTTGTAATACTAAAAAAATAAAACCTAAATGTAATTGGTTGGAAAATTATGGAATAACGTACAACAGGATACCATGCAACCACTAAAACAATTATGTAGAGCTATACTGATTACATGGATAGATATCTGATATTATATTAAGTTTTTTAAAGCAGGTAAAAAAATAACATTTTAGAATAATCTATTAAAATATTATATATATTCTCTGTATGTGCAAAAGTCTAGATGAAAGTACACTAAAAAGGAGAGTAAGAAAGTGGATAATTTTCATTTTCTTTTTTAAACCTTCCTACTATGTCAGATTTTTCTACAGTAAATGTACATGTACACTGTTTGTAAAATCAGAAAAATAATAATGCTACTGCCAATCTAGAAAGATTTTTTAAATGATTTCCTCTATACTTTGCTGCCCGCATTCCTCTGAGGCTTGGGGGCTCTCAGGATAGGCTCGCATCAAGCCTTCTGGGAGCAACTTCTCTTAGCTGCTCTTCTTGCACCCAAAGCAACCCTGGGGAGGCAATCTGCCAATGGAAGTGTTTTAGACCTGGCACAGAGGGCAGCGGCACTCACAGTTAATAACTCATTAAGACTCAGAGAATCAACTTTGTACAAAGGAAGTGTCTGACCTCAACAAGTGCAAGCATATTATTCAGCTGGTATTTTATTATTCAGCTGGTATTTTTAGTAATATCAAATCTGCCAAGGCTGTCATTTCTGTCAAAGTCATTTATGTCAGGATTATAAAGCAAAGCACCAATAATAATATTTGAAAAAAGGAGGCAGAAAGGGGCATGAAAGAGAGAACAGGGAAATGCTTAGGGGCAGATCAACCAAAACGTAGTTGTAGCATCATACTTAATACTTATTCAACCTGGCTGGACAGCAACCTATTACTGAGCTCTCCATTCTCTGCCTGGCACCATGCTGCCCTGCGAAGATAGAGATACGTAAGGCCTGGCCCTTCAGGACCACTGTCATTTTTAATATGTGGCCAATGGCACTAAAACAAAATTCCTTTCCACTTACTAAGTGCCCACGTGAAGTGGAGGTCATCTGATCACACTGTTCTTTTACAGGTTTTGTTTACAGTTGCTTTTGTTCTTTGCTTGTGAGGAGATGAAAGTGAGAGATGGGAAAAATGAGGAAGATAAGCATAGAGAGAAGACAGGTGATGAAAATGAGAGGAAGCAGTAAAAGGACTGAGAATAAATACTGAATTTGGAAGAAAAGGTGCCTGAAAAAAATAGAACAAGCCAGAAGAATGGAAAAGTGGCACGTGAGACAAAGCCGCGACCAGCTCCCTGCCAGGACGAGAAAGGCAGTGAGAGAAGACAAGGAGGGCAGCATGGGACCCAGGAGCAGGCACCCTCCAGCTCCCGCTCTGCACGGAGGTTCTGAGGACAACCTCCGTGGGCCCCGGGAGGGAAGGATGCCCTCTTCCTCCAGGGAGTGTTTTCTGGTCTGTCCACAGGAAAATGTAAGGAAAGATGACACGGAGCCATTCACCTGACGGCCCCTTCCTTCCTCTCCCGCGCTGGCTGCAGGAAAGCCATTTCACAAGCTGATGTGATAGGAGCTCAGCTTCTGTAAAAAAATGAGAGAGCTGCTTCTCCTCCTAAAAAATCACAGCATCTGCTCATGTGCACTCGGACAAAAGAGAACAAGGTTCTCTCCTTGGCCGATTCCCACTTAAAGTTCCACATATGATTCCATGGGTCCACAGGACAGGAGACTCATTTAGTGAAGTAAGTATTCCAGGCAGGGCAAACATCATGAGGCTTGGAGGCAAAAAAATGTGCAGCCTGTTCAGTGGACCTACTGACATTGGGTATGAGCAGTGACGTGGGGAGCGACAATGAGGGGGTGTTGAGTAGAGGGCAGGTGGAAGAAAGGAGGCCTTGGTTGTCATAGTGGCAAATACTCTGATTTGCCTTTTTCAGAAATCATTCTGCCCAGGTGGCAACTACATTTATGAAAGGCAAAAATAGAAAAAAAAAAATACTTAAGAGGCAAAGGTAGAATTGAGAGGTGATGAGTTTGTTTTTAATCCTCACCCAAGGATATGTTTATTGATTTGAGAGAGAGAGAAAGAGAGAGAGAGAGAGAGAGAGAGAGAGAGAGAGAGAGAGAGAGAGAGAGAGAACCACTGATGTGAGGGAGAAGCATCAATCGGTTGTCTCCAATACGTGCCCTGATTGGGGATGGGACCCGCAACCCTGTGGTGTATAGGACCACACTCCAACCAACTGAGCCACCCGGCCAGGACTGATGGGTTTAACGTGCTGTGAGTGAAGGGGGCCCAGGGCATCCCAGTGATAATGTCAGCAGGCATTAGAGCACAGAGCAGGAAATCACAACTGTGATAAAGTACAGCAAAGTGGCAGAAAGAACAGGAGGCCAAGGGCTGAACCTTGGCAGGCCCTTCCTCTCGGTAGTGGGAAAAGGCCAAGGAGGCTGAACGCTGCCGGCCAGGTCAGAAACAAACCTCCAGTGTAAAACGTGGAAGCCAAGGGGTCGGAGCACAGAGGACCACGGGCCTACAAAAGCAAAAGCCATCGCAGTAACTGCACCAGCTATTGTCCAGAAGTGGGAGCAGCAACTATCCACCACGGCTGGCACCATGCATTGCATACTTTATTATATATACAATTTATTTTACCACATCGGTCTTTATCATAAAAGAAGCTAGGATCATCCCATTTTATGCTGTAAGGCTCAGAGAAGTCAAGTAACTTGTCTGATGTCACTCGATTAGTTTACAGTAGACCTGTACCTCACGCTAAGGCCTTTTATAAAAGGCCAAAATTTTACAACATGTAACTTAATTGTTGCAAAAGCAAACATAAGATTATGCAGTTGTGGGGAGAGAGAGAGAGAGAGTGGAAGGGAGAGTTGATTTCTCTTGCAATGAAACTGACAGGGAGGGAAACCAAACAGAGGACGGGACCCTAAGGTGTGGTGTAGGGTGTGAGAGAGGTGGGCCTGTTCAGAGGCCGCAGGAAAAGTCAGTCTAGAGAAAGCTCTTGAAGATGAGGCAAGGGCCAGAGAGATGATGCGGATGGAGGGTGCGGGGCCAGCAGGGGGACATCTCACCCCCTGGGTGGGGAGGGCGGAGGAGGGTGCTGCCCAGGTGCTGTGCACAGGGAGGTAATCCAGCCGTCCCTGTCTTCCTGTCATGTAATGAACCCTTTTCTCATCCTCCACGGCTTCCCTCAAATCCCACTCACTCAGTGTTTTGAATGCCACTGTCTCAATTAGGAATGTTGTGTTTTTATAGTATGAATCTTTCTGTTCGGACCTGAAGGCCTCAGGTACCACCCACCACCCACAAGTTTGGGTATTCCTTCTGCTCCGCCCTGGTCCTGCAAATGGAAAAAGTCGCTCAGTTTCTTCTCCTTCCATAGTGTCTGGAAACAAACATTTTTCTGAGGTTTTCTAAAATATGTTACTTTGCAGGGAAACAGATGGAGTGGAAATAACAAAAGTATCACCCCAGCAAAAGCTGTCCCCAATATCCTGTGCGTTGTAAACAGACCATGGACTTCTGTATTCAGAGGCTCTACAACTCTATCACCATTTTTCTCCCACGGAGGCCTAATCCATCTTAACTGGTTTTATTCTAAAATGACTACCTTCTGATTGCTTCATCCAATTTCAATGATGTGCATGTACTTATCTGATAGTTTTCTCATTTATTTATGTGTCCATGATCTCTCTTGTTTACTGCTATATGCCCAGGACAACAGACACAAATACTTATAGAATAAAAAGATGCTCTATTTGGACCTGGCCCCTGAAGTCCACCTCGTTAGAGACAATGAGATACAGGTGGGGCAAAAGGTTTATATTGTGTGTACACAAAACACAGAGCTTATTCTTGTGTTATTATTTATAATTATTGATTTGTATTATTAATTTGTAAACTCAACTTTTGCCCAACTCTGTATAATCATGGAATTTGGCAAAGCTAAGTACTAGATACAGAGCTCAAACTCATGACTTTAGCCTCACTAGTCTCATGCCCCAATAAACTCAACCAACAGACTTTTCATAAGATTTAAAATTGAAAATCCACAGGCCAAAGATTTATATTTGTTTCTAAGTCAACAGATCTAGAAATTCTGAAAGACTAATACTAGTACTAGTTTGAATCTATCCAAATGTCAACAGCTCTTAGACTACTGCCCTAAAAGAAAACATGTGCAATCTACAGTGAGAACTGTATCTTCGACATTTGCACAAGCACGAATGGGCCTTAGTTCATTTTGAGGAAAATCAAACATGGATTCATATAAAATTCATAATTTTCTGTTTAGACAGAGACAAGGCCAGATGCTTCAAACAAACTATAAGAGCTAGAGACAGGACTAATATCCTCCCTCAAACACTTGTATAAAATTTTCCTCATATTGCCAAATTCTTTTGCTCTAATTTTCAGAGTGACAGTGTTGGCTGTCATTGTTTCAGGCACAAATATGAGAGCAGTAAAGTGAACGTAAATACTTGCCATCAAGAACTCAGGTCTGGGTGAGGCATTAACAAAGGGAGAAGAGGTGCAGGGGAAAGACGCCCTGAAGACATCTCCTGCCACCAATCTCATTAACCTGCTTCTAAGGGTTACCTTTGCACTATGTATGCAACAAAAAATGGGCTACTATTTCCTGGTGTCAAACAGAAATATATTCAGACAAGGGCCAATCAAAATCTGCTAGGAAAAAGATGTTAACACGCAGTCTTCCACAAGTAGATTGCTTTCTCTGACGCTGTGGCTTCCTATTCTACTGGCCAGTCACCTCCTACTGTAGATGGCATGTCAAGGCTGGGCAGAGAGAGAATTCAGAAGGCTAGGCTTCTTGTGTTTCTTTCCAAATGCTTTCTTTTTTTCTAGAATACCTCTTAAGCCCTCGATTGGCAATGATCACTGAAGTCATCATTGAAAGTTGACTATAATTCTAAGTTCTAATTATTATTTTATAGTCCTTTAAAAATGCATTAAAAGGCATTTTTATACAGTACAGAACCAATTCATCTTAATCTAATTATCCAAAAGCTTTGTAAAATCATCAAAACTTAAAAAAAAAAACAGATCCAAACACGATTAACTGCTTGTCTAACATAAAGCAAAGCAATGCTTGTGGCAGGAGATTTATAATTCACTCCACTTAAGTAATTAATAGAAATATATTTAAAATGAATCGATACAATCACATTATATAGGCAGTTATGCTTGAAAGCAGTCCTAAAAATGATGTAAGACAAGTAAGTCCATCTTAATGTGGCAATATCAAATTACACATCAGTTGCCACCTTTCAGACCAATTTTTCATTTAAAAATCCAATAGAAAACTGCAACCTGTTATCCAAAATTAATGCAAGTATAACATTCCCTGCTAGAGACCGAGTCTGTGACATGGCTCTTTCGTCTCGTCTGTGCTGTAGTGTTCATAAAAAGGAAGAGGCACCTTTACAAATCAGCAACGGTGAGAGGGAAACTGAACCATATGTGAGGAAAACACACGCCACTAATGTCTATCCAAGTGTGTCACTTGTAGTCATTAAAACACGCAGTCAAGTGAGGGTTTTGTTACAGGCTTTGGTTGATTTTCCAGATTTTCCAAAGCAGGTGGGTGTTTCATCTGAATAGGTCAACCACCCATAGAAGGCCACAGCCTGCAAATCCTGCAGAGCTGGCCAGCCTAGAAGGCCAGGCGGATGTTTTTGGAAAGAAGCATTCTGTTCTTTGATTTATGTCATTAGCACAGCAAATAACTAAATTTAACAACCATAACTGATTCGCCATAGAAGTACCATAGGATTCCTGCCCTTCGCCTGGAATCAACTGAGACCTACATCAGATCAGTCTCCCTAGCAGATAACCTCCCATGTTCTCAAGCCTGTCCTCAATCTCAGTTCACTGATTTCATTTTCAATATAACAAATTTAGTTAGTGACTTTCAGTGCTATGAAATTTGATTGTATTTCCACTGCAGTTTACTTACGGGGTTCCTTCCAACAGCCTGTTAGTGCCCTGGAGACAACTACCTGACTTGAAAGTAGACGACAGATGAATCAAATATAAATCCTGGTCCAGCCCAGCTGGTGTGGCTCAATGGTTGAGCATTGACTTATGAACCAGGAGGCCATGGTTCCATTCCTGGTCAGGGGACATGCCGGGGTTGCTGGCTCAATCTCCAGTAGGGGGCTTGCAGGAGGCAGCTGATCGATGATTCTCTCTCATCATTGGTGCCTCCCTCTCCCTCTCCCTTCCTCTCTGAAATCAATAAAAATATATTTAAATATAAAAATAATCCTGATCCAACCAATTCTATCCTCTCTGCACTGATGATTCCAGTGGCTCTCAACCAGGGGTTATGTGCTCCCAAGGTGACACTTTGCAGTGTCGGGGACACATTTAAATTGCCATGGCTGGCGGGGTGGGGAGAGGTGCTACTGTCATCTAGTGAATAGAGACCTGGGACGCTGCTAAACATCCTACAATACAAAGGCCAGCCCCTACACAGCAAAGAATTATCCCACCCGAAATGTCAATAGTGCTAAGGCTGGAAACCTGGAACCATAAAGATAAGATTTAAAGGTAATACCTACACCAGGATAATGTCAGAAAATCTGTGCCATAAAAAATAAAAAAATAAAAAAAAATGGAAGAACAACTTCCCATAAAAAGAAAAAAGAAAAAAGGATGACCTCCAACACTTACTGTTTTCCAGATCTCTGATACACAAAGGATAGTCAATTATAGACTTGCTTTTTCAAAAGATATTGCTTAGCCTGGTTAAAAAAAATGTATGTATGAAGTCATATTTATTTTCACAGTTAATATTCTTAGCCTTAACCTTAAAAAAACAACAAAAAATCCAATCACTTAAAAAAAATCTCAGGAAAACAACCTTTTGTTCTTTCAGGAATGCAATTACACTCAGATTGCCAACAAACTTATGTAAAATGATAAACATTTAACGTATCACCCTTGTTTGCTTGCATGCTTTTTTTCTTTTTAAAAAACAAATTGGCAAAAACACAGAGAAGAGACAAACCACAGAATTTATCAAACAGATACACATGGCACTCTGGGTGGCCTGAAAGCCACGAACCCCACCTCAGACTCTTGCAAATAGCATCTACTGGGCAGCAGGCTTCCCTGGAGAGCCCATGCTACAGGTCAATGCACAATACACAGCCCTGAGCCAGGCACACACAAACAGTCCCTTTACCAAGCTTGTCTATGAAGATCTCCTGAAGAGGCAGAACGGGTCAGTGCTTTCTTCCAGTCAAAACCAATGGCGCTTTAGAATTAAAAGTTTAAAAAGTTCGACTTCCATTAGGCACCTAAATTATTTCTAAAAGTTTAGGAAATGTTCATCTTGCTGCCAAAATGATAAATGTCAGGGACTGTGGTATTTTATTTCCTAAGATTCCTTGAGTCATTTTGAGGCTTTGCTTTATTTAGTACTGTGGGTCAAGACTTAACAATCTTGGGTGGTCTTCTGATTTCTTCTCCCATAGTCAAGACAATGGGTTCTCTGGGACATGCTGTATAGCAGGGGTCCTCAAACTTTTTAAACAGGGGGCCAGTTCACTGTCCCTCAGACCATTGGAGGGCCGGACTATAGTTTAAAAAACAAAACAAAACTATGAACAAATTCCTATGCACACTGCACATATCTTATTTTGAAGTAAAAAAACAAAACGGGAACAAATACAATATTTGTATTTGCATGTGGCCCGCGGGCCGTAGTTTGAGGACCCCTGCTATATAGAAAGGAACCTAGGAACTTGCAAAGATTAGAGCCACCATCTATCTCAAAATTCATTTTGGTGTTAATGTTTCAAAGAGGAAAGGTAACTTTGAACTTCAAGTGAAATGAAAGCACATAAACCATGGGCAATATTTTATGACCTGAACTTTCCCATAGACTCCTGATTTCAAACATTCCACCCTTTTGACCACATCGAGTGCCTCAGAAATTCCAGTATTTCTACATCTAATCTCTGAGACTGCCTCCCAAAACAAATTGCATAAAAATTCTTTGTTAGACTACGTGTCCTGATTTTTGGTTTCAGAATTTTTAATTTAACTTTGGGAACTAAAAAGGTAGATTCCTACAACACATTTTACACCAGAAAAATCTTGATTAATTAAAGATATAAAGATAGAAAATGACAGCAAAAGTGAATATTTATACAAATTCCACTATTTATATAACCCAGGATTAAAGAAGGACTTTCTTAACACCAAAGGCAGAAATTATGAACAAAAACATTTTATTACATTAAAAGAAAAACTTTCTGATCAACCAAACAACATAAACAAAAGTAAACACCATAACAAACTAGAAGGATGTTACAACAAACTAGGGAAATACTAGTTTCAACAACAACAAAAAAGGCAAAGGGGTAAATAACTAAAATATTTGTAGGGCTCTCAGAAATAAGACAGACAAATGGTTGAAGAGAAAAATAAGCAAAAACATGAATATGCAATTAGTAGAAATATAATTAGTAAACAAATTAAAACAAAGATACGTATTTCCTGACTATTAGACTGGCACAGATTCGCAGCAACGATAGTACCCAGTGAAGGTGAAGCTATGGGGAGACGGCAGCATCCAAACTGCTAGTGGACCTAATACATCGATCGGTAAAGCCTTAGGGAGCCAGTCTGACTACTTTATTAAAAGATTTTAAAATCTTGTTTCCTTTCACTCAACAATTCCACTCCAGGCTTCATCCACAAGAAACAATACAGAAAGTTCCTAGAAATGCAGTTATTAAATGTATAGTTGATAACATTTTTTTAAGTGAACAACAACCAGACGGCTGAGTGTCTCTGCCTCTATAGCCATGTTCAGCAACTGCTAACCCCCATTGATTCCACGGAGCAAAGGACTCTCCAATGCCTGCTTCGTTCTACCTGCACCATCACCACCTTGTCCAGGCCATCAGCACTCCTCACTGGGATTTTTGCAACAGCTTCCTAAAGAGAACCCTACCCCTTTCCTGGTCATTCTCCACCTGGTAGTCAGAATGAGATTTTTAAAACATAAACCAGGTAATTTATACTCCTGGTAAAAGGCCTCTGGTGGCCTAAATCCAAGTCCTTATCACTTATAGAGAGCTGTGGCCATCCTGTCTCCTGGTTACCTTGCCAGCGCCTTCTCCCTACCCCTGCACAGCCACACTTTGAAGTTCCTCCAATGGGCCATGCTGGTCTCTGTGCATGCTGCTGCTTCCTCTCCTAGAACATGGGGGCCCATACTAGTCCACCACTCAGCTAACCTATATTCTTCCAACGTATTCTCTAGGGCTCAGTTTTGCAGGCACTTCCACTGGGTAAAGCTCTCCTGCCTCCCCCCTGGTGAGTTAGATGGAGTGCCCAAGCACATACTACCCACAGCGAACTACACTTACCCAGTCACAGCACTGACCACACTGTACTGGGATTATGGGTTTAACTGGGAGTCACTTAGTTTGCAGGCATCTCATATCACCTTTATCACTGCTTGGCCTTTTCAACAAAGAAAGTCTTTGCATGCCCCAAAGCCCCTTCCCTTATTGACACACCAAGTTCTTCCAGGTCCACAACACCCAACATCCTTTTACACGTGCTCAACTATTCCATAATGCATACACCTGGCGGAGGTGCCTGAGGCAGCAAGACACTGGACAGATGTACTGAAGCTGCATATTCTATAGATCATCTGTGTGGTTCTTGAGTACTTACTGATTCTCCTTTGAGCCTTATCAGATGTGATTTTTGCTGTTTTGGAAACAGAGATCTTTCATAGTTCCTTTTTCTACAACAAATACTAATCATACCAACAGAGCACATCTATTAGGGCAGCTTTCACAAACTAAGAGGAGAACTTTCAAAATAGTTACTTCTTCCCCACACCTTTGGTAATAATCAAAGATAAAAAGCAATCTAAATGTCCCTCAAGAGGAAACCAATTAAATAAATTATACATCAATCCAATGGAGTGCTGTGCAGGCCTAAGCACGAGAAACTCTTCATATACTGATTTGGAAAACATTAGGAAATAGTGTAAGGTGAAAAAGCAAAGTGATGCACAATATGAAAATATGCTGCTATGTGTCTAAAAAGGGCAGACACATGCTGGTGTGTGCATCAGATATTTCCGGGAGAACACGGGTGGGGAGGGAAACTGAGTTGCAGAGCCAGGATGGGGAGAGCTTTCCCTGCCTAATCTTTTACTGCTCATCCTTATCAATATGCTATATATTCCAATGATCCCTTACTTTGGGTTTTTATTTAATTAAATAGATATTAATGTTTGATGAACCTCTTTATATGGGAAGCACAAAGGCTAATTTTAACATCCCCCCCCCCCCCCAACACACACACAACACAAAACGTTCCACTATCAAGTGCTCTTGAACAGGCTGTCAGGAGACAGCGGTAGCGCCATCTTCCCCGCCGGGTCATTTAAAGTGGAGGGTTGCTGCCTTCTCTTGGGTCTGCTCTTCTCCTTTCTCAGTCCTTCACTCTCAAATGGGCTGAGCAGCAGCCACTGTCAAATACCCCCACTGTGTAACAACACCTGGCTACACTCCATTTTCTTGGAGTGAGTGAAACTAGGATGGTTTCTTCCCAGAAAGTAGTGTTGAAATCAGCCCTAAAGGAAAAGCAAAACTATAAATTTATACAGCCAAACAGCACTAACTACAAATTCTGCTTTGTGGCCCATATAAGAAATAAATGGGTTGACAAAAACAAAACAAAACAAACAAAACAAAACACAAATAAAATAAGAAAGGAAGGAAAATGAGAGAGGGAGAAAAACCTTTCACTCCAATGGGCTTTTCCTTTCCCTTTGACTTGATCCAGCCAACATGGCAGGACGAACAGGGTGGGCTGATTTCCGCTTCACTAGTATCAGGTTATGGACTCTGTCTGCAACTCATACATTGTAATTCATGCCTTAGATTTATTATTTTTCCTACGCCTTAAAGATATGTACAAGAGAGTAATATGCTTTCGATCTCATATTCCTAGTGCCACCCAGGTCTCATGCTCTCCCCATCTGGACCAGCGTATGCCAGAGAGAGAGGGCCCTTTCCCAAAGGATAACTGTAATGGAGAAAAAGTTCAACAGAAATTCCAAACAAAATAATGCTAACCATGGAACATCTTACTTCTTGTCTTCATACCAAACAAAAATAAACTCCCAAACAAAACTGCTAAAAGTAACTATCAAGTTATTAAAAAACACACCATTAACTCAATTATATCCAAAACATGGGAGAGAAACATGAATATTCCAAAAATTCTTAAACAAGAAGAAAAAATTCAACCCAGTTATCTTATGAAACTATCATTTGAAATAATGCTCATACATTGTTATTACCAAAAATTATGTTGCTGCCTGAATTAAAGATAGATTTTGAAAACAGTCCTTGAGACATCACATACACTCAGAGCTGGTACTAAATAAACAAAATACTAGGATGATTATCAAATCCAGGCCTAATAAATATACAAGAATCCATATGCAACTAAAAATTAAGTGGGAACTTATTCTATGTCAGAACATAATGTCTTACACTCTACAAGATGCTTCCATATGTAGTATCTCATCATAACTTGTCAGGAAGGTATTTTTCTTCTCATTTTGCAAAGAAAACTTAACCTAAAAAACAGTGAAGCCTGGCTCGGTGGTTCAGTTGGCTGGAGCGTCGTCCCATGCATCAAAAGGTTGCCAGGTCGATTCCCGGTCAGGGCACATTGGGATACATATAGGAGGCAACCCATCAATGTTTATGATGTTTGTCTCTCACACTTAATGTTTCTCTCTCTCTAAAATCAATAAAAAACGTATCTTCAGGTGAGGAATTAAAAAATAAGTAAGCCATGGGGATTTCCCTGGGGTGGTTTTCTTTTCTATTTTTTAATGTCAACAGATGTTGATTATGCTGCATTCTGGAAGAGCACTGATAATGCAACCAGCTTATTCCATTTGCTGATAAAGTTTGTATTCAAGCTATTTTTTACAGAAATAGAACTTTTTTGTGTTTTTCTCCTCCTAAGTGAGGAGGGAAAAGGAAAACAGACTCAAATGGGACCAAACAAGAAATAATAAGCATCATTTAAAGGTTCCTCTTCTACTCCACACCTTTTTCTAAATTCAAATTTATTAAATTTAGCCTTTAGTGTTTGTGCTGACATAACACTAACCCTCAAAGATGTCATCATCCAGCAGAAGAGTCAGACCTGCAAATGAAAAATTACCACATAATTTCATAAGGATTAGAGTAAAACAAGTGGTAATCTGGAGAAAACCGGGAATTATCTTCCTGGGAAGGGTGCTCAGGGAGGAATGTCTCTGCTGAGGATGTGCCTTCTGGGCAGAGGAGCGTGGACTGGCCAGGAGTATGAGAATTTTGAGGAAAAGCATCAATGTAAAGATACAGCCCTATGTTACCACCAGCATTGACAGAAGAAAAATACAGGCTGACCTGACTAGAGTACACATCTCAGAAAAGGGGGTAATCAAATGCATACTGGAGGTAAGCCAAAAAGGAGATAAAGATGGCTCCAAGGTGTCTTGCTTGGGTCATAAAAAATGCCATTAATGACATAGGAACT